TGGCACTCCATTTGTGTTGTGGTGATTCATTCACGACCCACACTGAAGAAATTGCCATGTCATCCTGAGAAAGAAGGGTCCGTTTTCAGTTTAAAAGCATACTCTTGATTCCTATCATTCGTCCTGAAGAAGGAAATCTTGCATCATGCTTCATGAATCATATGTTAACATTTGAAAATGAAATTTTAACCCTTTGATAAGTATTTATCAAATCACTAAAAGTCAGTAATTCTTAAAGGTGCAGTAGGTGATCTGCCAAAATTTTAGCATATCTTTGAAAACGCAGTCCCTCCCCTGCCGTCCAAAGCCACACCTCCTGAAATCACGAACGCACACCTTAAAGATGACTGTAGACAACCCACTAGATCAGGGGTGCCCAAACTGTTTCTTATGAAGGACCAAAATCCAAGCTTAATTGAGAGCTGTGGGCCAAAGGAAAATAGTGCAAATTGTATTACATCAAAGTTGCCATGGGTAATTTCCTAATGTATTTCATAATATCTACAAAAAAAAAAAAAAAAAGTATTTACTAATGCATTCTAAAATTTTAACAAACTTATTACAATAAAACTATTAAAAACATCAATTTATAAATCAATGGAGTTCAATGCTGAATACACTAGTCATAAAGAACCTGCCTTTGCCTTGATTTGTTTGCTGATGTCTTCTGCTTTTTCCTCTGTTCGTTAAGTGACAGTATGTAATTTTTTTTTTTAATTCGGATTCTTTTACAACATTTAGTTGAAATATAAAATTTCAGTTTGCTTTTTTGTAGCTCAACAATAAAACAAACAAACAAAAGATAACATTAAAAATAGAAATGAGACTCTGGTAAAAGCATTCCCCAACCCTTCCCATACATTTTCTTTCTAGCGGGCCAAATAAAAGGATACAAAAGGCCAACTTTGGCCCGCAGGCCCTAGTTTGGGCATCTATGCACTAGATCATGTTATTTACCAGTTAGAAAACTTTAATACTTTGTAATACTACAATTCTGAATGAGAAACTGTATTATATCTTGCAAGCAAAACTCATGTAATAAATTTAATGAATGTAAGGCATACTAACATGCTACTTCAGGCTGAATATTCAAATTAGCACGGTAAACAATATAGGGGGCGTGTCACAGGCTGCCATTGTTCAAAAATGAACCAATGTAAAATTAAAGCCAACTTTACCTCAGTAAAGCAGGCTAGAGGGAATAGCAAAAATGTTTTGTTATTAAACTAAATAAAAAATTACATTTTTGATGCTGTAAAAGGTCCCTTATGAAACTGAAAATAGACATGTGAATCGTTCGCCAGAAGATTTCAGTGGCTGAACAACACTTCTGTGCATATAACCCATTTGTAAAACAACACAATCTACATCAGCTTTGCATGACTAAAATAGTTTTAAAACAGAACATTACCTGTCTAAAAGAAATACTTAAGCCATGGTGTGATCCTTCCTCCAGCATGCAAAAGTAGCTCCAATATTGATTGAGGATTTTAAACAGTTTTGATGCAGCATTTGTTTTTACCGTACTCACTTTCTCGTGTAAACATGCAAACATGGAATCTTCGTGAACGGGTGTGCAAATATACAAATCTGCATTTGTTGGCTGACCGTTTGTGCTACTTATCTGAATTATGGCAATTGTTGGCCCAACAAATTTTAATTGGATGAACATTTTTTAGTCTTATGCCTTAACCAGAATTCAAAAATACATATAAATACATGTAGACAATTTACTTTAATCATTACTATTAGAATGTGAAGAAACGTTCCACCAGCACAATAAAAATTCTTTGGTCTTACAGCTAATAAGAAACTCTCCAGTATCACTTAATTAGCACCAAACAAGAAATATGCTTATATGCTAATTATATTGTAATTTTTATAATATCGCATCAATGAAACACTTTTTAATGTCTATGTGTATAACATTACACAAAATTGATAGTTCAATACATACTTTGGAAGTTACAAATGATAGGACATTACCAATACAGTAGATTTAGTTATATTGAAAAACACAGAGCTAAATAAATGAACCTCCATTAGCCTGGAAAATACTATTCCATTTGGGTTTGTGAAGATGAAGTGAAACTTTGTTTATCATCTGTTGGCACTCTTACAATTCTTTGCAGACTTTGAAATAATAAATGGCACTCACTTCATGAATCTAATTAGTCTTCTTAATTGGAGAACGCTAAAGAATTGCTCAAGCAGTGATAGTGTTGGTCGTGAGATGGCAGGGTCAGCAATTAATCACAAATTAAATTTCTCGTACAGGGATTTTGTTGATCTATATAATTTGGCAAGAAGTGACTCATGTTCATGCTTAAATGTCTGAATATTCATTTCTAACTAACTTTGTATTTTGTAGTTTAGGTTCTGATTGTCAATTAGCAGCTGCTTTTATTTTGAGCAGCTTCCTGTAATTGTCATGATGGCCTTTTCAGAGCAATCTTAAATGTGCTTAATAATTTAAATCAATATTCAAGATATTGAAATCCTTTCTATGATTATATGTTATTGAGCATACAGTGTTTGTGTGTTCAACTACAATCTACCCTCCTCATCTGCAGACGAATTCACACACACTAATGGACTCGTTCTGTCTCTTAATAAAACTAAAACAGGAAAAGCCAGTCCATCTGACTCATTATATTGGCGTAATCCTTTATGGTTAATTAGGTTTTTCTCTGTGTCTGTCGGGTCAACGAAAATGTATGATTTTGTAGAAAGAGGTAAGAGAGTAGTTTTTGTGACACATTCTTGACAGCGACTGAGTGGGTAGAGATGAGTCGTGATGTCCTTGATGCTGAGTGAAATATTTATTGGATGGATGAAAGTCAAATGTATTAATATGTTCAAAGCCAACAGTGGGCACGCACATTACATCTGGTGTATGAGCAAGAGTAATCATGAAAGGCTTATTATTCCATAACTCGCTTTTAGTAGTTGACCATTTAAAAAGCTTGAGGCCTATCTATCTATCTATCTATCTATCTATCTATCTATCTATCTATCTATCTATCTATCTATCTATCTATCTATCTATCTATCTATCTATCTATCTATCTATCTATCTATCTATCTATCTATCTATCTATCATCTATCTATCTATCTATCTATCTCTCTATCTCTCTATCTATCTATCTATCTATCCATCCATCTATCTATCATCTATCTGTCTGTCTGTCTGTCTATGTCTGTCTATGTCTGTCTGTCCGTCTGTCCGTCCGTCTGTCCATCCATCCATCTATCCATCAAAAAATGTATTTTTTGTGTGTGTTTTTATGCTTTGTCTGGAATATTAAACAGTCAACATGACCCAGAATAGATATACTGTATTTTCAGTGCTTTCCACAGGTTTTAAATATACTTGCAGTGGTGGCTGGATTGAACCTTTTACCCTCGGCTCATGGTTACCTACAGTACATGCGGCAAAAAAATATATATATATATATTTAACAATATTTTTATACACTGTTTCTTTTCAAAGGGGTTGAAGTTTTTTTTTTTTTAAGACATAACATTTTGAAATAACATTTTATACAGTATTCCCAAAGCATGTTAGACATGTATAAAATGTAGTATATCAACATCATCAAATAAAATATTACAAACAGTATTTAGAAAAAAATATATACAGCAAATGAGAAATAAATGATAAAGTAAAAAATAAAAATGTAAAAACAAAATTGTATGGAATAAAAATCCCTAAAAAGTATAATAATTACAAGACTAAAAAGAGTTAGGCAAATGAAGAATAAAAACGTTTCTCTGAGAAGTTTATTTCAAACAATTATAATTTCATTTTGGGGGGGGGGGGTTCACCTTTATTTGATAAGACAGTGGAGTTGAGAAAGAAATACATGGGGAGCAGAGAGAGACAAAGGACCTCAAGCCAGGAATTGAACTTGGGTCGCCGTGAGCACCTTCGTGCTATATGTCGGTGCGCTTTATCACAATGGTATTGGCACTGACTAGATCAAATAATTAATTATATAATGTTTCTCTCGGTCTTGTGGTTGTGCATGCTCTGTCAGCTGTGAAGTCAAGCGAAAGTAAATCAGGCTTAAAATAAAATGTAATGCAAAAACACATACAATTAGGAACAGCTTAGAAAGTAAAATCAAAAGACGAATCCCGGACATTTTAGGAGATTTAAAAACCACGTACGGATGTATTTTTAAGTCTCAAAAAGGTGCAGAGCACATGAGATCTATGAAAGTGTTGACAGTTCTTGCGCACACACAAGGAGAAGTAGTAAATGTGAAGGGTGAGAGAATATTTTCCACTAGTTAATCGATCGCGTATCTTTGGCTATTGGGCGCATACAAAAAAAGAAAAAAATGTAAAAGGATGATAATAATAAAAAGCAAATGTCACCAAATATACCTTGGCAGCCGTTAATATACCTGGGTGGCCTACCCAAGTAAAGTTTATGTGTGAGAAGCAGTGATGGTTTTTAATAAATTTAAATATATAGTGCTGCAGCTGTAATGACAAAAACTGAAAGAGTAATTCTCTACTGTATCTACAAGATTTTTCTATGGGTTTTTAAAATTTGTGTTTGCAATTTACTGGTAAAAACAGTCTGTGATGAGCATTAAGTGATGGATGTTTTGCACTACAAAGGCAATTAAACTTATAACACTAACACTTATTATACTTATAACACAGAGGTGCTCACAGAGGCCTGAGTTAATTCCCAGCTTGAGGTCCTTTGTTGGTCCTTCCCCTCTCTCTGCTCCCCACAATTTTACTGTTTGATCTATTTAAAGATAAAAAAATGTAAATAATTAAAACCCCAATAAGATCTATAGAAAATGTATGAAAGTGAAGTTTGGCCAAAGCGACATGGTGGCTGAGTGGCTGTCTTTCACTTCTCGAGGTTTTTTTTCTTTTCTAGATTATATTCATGCTGATATTGCTTATGCTGTGTGATCAAATTTTCATGCATCAGACTACAAATAGCTTTTTTTTGTGTCTTTGTTGTTTTTAGGACATGGGACGAAGGGTGTGTTTGAGCTTCTGGCAGGCTGGAGAAGAACCAGAGAGAGTTTGCCCTTCAAGGAGAGAGTGGCGGATGCGTTTGCTGATGTGATGGTGTGCTACACTATGACCAGCTCGCTCTACATAATCACCTTCGGCATGGGCGCCAGTCCTTTCACCAACATTGAGTCTGTGAAAGTCTTTTGCCAGAGCATGTGTGTAGCAGTACTGGTTAACTACTTTTATGTATTCTCCTTCTACGGCTCCTGCCTGGTGTTTGCCGGGCAGCTGGAGCAAAACCGATATCACAGCGTCTTCTGCTGCAAGATCCCCTCAGTGGAGTATCTGGACCGCCAGCCCACTTGGTTTAAGACCATGATGAGCGACGGCCATGATCTGTCTACACACCACGACAGTGTCCCGTACCAGAACCACTTCATTCAGCACTTCCTAAGGGAGCATTACACAGAATGGATAACCAACACCTACGTCAAGCCTTTTGTGGTGATCCTCTACCTGATTTATGCCTCGTTTTCGTTCATGGGATGTTTACAAATCAGCGACGGCTCGAACATAATTAACCTGCTAGCTAGCAATTCGCCCAGTGTGTCGTTTGCCCTGACCCAGCAGAAATACTTCAGCAACTACAGTCCTGTGATTGGGTTTTACATCTACGAACCCATCGAATATTGGAACTCCACAGTACAGGAGCACCTCAAGACACTGGGACAGGGCTTTAATAAGATTTCCTGGATCGATAATTACTTTCACTTTCTGAGGGTTGTGAATATTAGCGCGTCCACCAAAAGTGACTTCATTAGCATCCTTAAAACTTCTTTCCTGAGGAGCCCAGAATATCAACACTTTGTGGACGACATCATTTTCTCCAAAAACGGAGCCGAGTATGACATTATTGCATCCAAGATGTACTTGGTGGCCAGAACGACCGAAAAAACCAGGGAGGAGGTCGTGGAGCTGCTGGAGAGACTTCGACCCCTCTCCCTTATAAACAGCATCAAGTTCATCGTTTTCAACCCAACGTTTGTGTTCATGGACCGCTACAGTTCCTCCATCATCTCTCCAATCCTGACGTCAGGTTTCAGCGTGCTCACCATTCTCATCCTCACCTTCTTCCTGGTCATCAACCCGCTGGGGAACTTCTGGTTGATCCTGACCGTCACCTCCGTGGAGTTGGGCGTCTTGGGTCTTATGACGCTCTGGAATGTAGACATGGACAGCATCTCAATCCTGTGCCTTATTTATACTCTCAACTTTGCCATGGATCACTGTGCCCCCCACCTCTACACGTTCGTACTGGCCACTGAGCACACACGGACTCAGTGCATCAAGATCTCTTTAGAGGAGCATGGGGCTGCCATTTTGCAGAACACCTCGTGTTTTGTGATTGGGATAATGCCTCTTCTTTTTGTGCCTTCTAACCTGACCTACACACTGTTCAAGTGCTCGCTTCTCACCGCCGGCTGCACAGTGCTGCACTGTTTCGTCATCCTTCCGGTGTTTTTGACATTCTTCCCACCCTCCAAGAAGCGCCACAAGAAAAAGAAACGGGCCAAGCGGAAAGAGCGGGAAAGGGAGAGAGAGCGGGAGAGGGAGAGAGAGGAGATCGAGTGCATTGAAGTCAGGGAAAACCCAGACCATGTGACCAATGTTTGATTGAAAGGCATGTGTGAGCGTAAGTGGTAAGAAATCAGCTCCTGTCCACAAGGGGGCGATGTCAGTCAGCACTTCACAGGTCCAGAGGTGGCCGAGTCCGGCACTATCTGCCCTGGGGGTGACCCCCAGTAATCCACAACAGTGCTGTCCAAACCCATCTTAGTCATTTCTTGTGCACCCTATATTCAGAACAGTGTATAACATCTGCAGCTGCTAGCTTACGTTAGCCGTTAACATGAAAGGTTTGCGCAAGAATGTTGTCTGTGTACATGAACTAAATCAAAACAGCTAAACAGAAAGCCTCTTAAAATGTTAGCATGAATCCGAGCAGGTGATTTCCTGCTTATTTGCGATCTCTAGTGAAGAATCCCAAGGGTTTTCATGTGTTTTGTAAGAGCAGATATCACAGCCATCTAAATTTGCTCTTGGTTAGCACTAACACGATTCTTTTTGATCACTCTTCAGTTTTTCTAACTGTTATGCACCTCACATTCCCCAAGCCTTGCGCTTACATAATTAATCAACTCTGTTTAAAAAAAAAATAAAGCTATGTGAAAACAGTAGCGAACGGAAGTAGCACTTTTCAGCATCCATCAAATTATGCAACACTCTTCTACAAATAACACTTGGCATGCATTTATCACAAATGTCCTGTAGCAAATCTAATACTCTGTTTGCAATCTCTGGTAGCAGTAACTTAGACTCTGAGAAACTGAGAGGTCCCACCTTATATCTGGAAAATATCCTCAGAGCAAAGCATCAATGGTCAATAGAATGGATTAATAATAACTGGAAAACATGTTTTTTTTTTCTTCTTAGAATGTTCAGTAAAATACATTATCCAATCTGACATTTAGCTGATATTCAGACTGTAATTTGTTTTACTCTTCCTAGTAAACAAACTGCATCTGAAAGTGCTTTATGTGGAGGCCTCTTACATGAATCACTAAAATGTTTTGCGTATAATATTGAACTGCATATGCCATTTAGAAAAAATGTTTTCTAAAACATCCGAGTGGCTCATTCATGAGAAAAGAGACTTGTAGCATGTCGTACAGCTGCGTTGGTATGGTCTGTTGTTTATTTGCTTGTTTGTTTGTCTGTCACAAAACCTGTTCATGCAGTTAAACTGAGCAATGACAAAGAGGTAAGGTTTTCCTTACTGTTGTTTTACTTTGCACAGTAGGCAGAATCAATGATGACTGTCATCTAAAACTATACAGTATGTGTCAAATCACAAGGGTAGATATTGTTTTTGAGTGTAGCATGTGTTTTGTCTGTATTTGTGTGTGTGTTTGCTATAGAGCAGTGCAGATGATATACACTGTGTTCACACTGAAGAAATTACTTGCACAAATCAATATAATGGTATCAAGATACATTCTGGTGGAAATGAGTATGTCTGCTATGTTAGAAGTGTCAGTTCTGTTGTCCAAAGGAATACTAGGCATCGCATCAGGCAATGTGGTGTGTTAGCAAAGTAGTCAATCCACACAGGGTTATTTTATACATGTCACAAATACGGTTATTAGATGTGTGGCACCATTCAAACCTGTTGGTATCTCTTTATGAAGCAACGCAAAGTGTAAGGTAGAAAATGTATGCATTGAAGGTGTAGCTCAAAACTTATCTGTTCACCCCAATGTCATTTTAAACCTAAGACTAGCTGTACAGAACATGCAGTGTGTGCATAGTATGTGCATACTGTTTTTTCTACTGTATGTAGTTAAGTCTTTTTACTGCAGCATGCACATGCGAAAAATTGGATTTCCATTTCTTAGTTACTCGACACTTTAAGGGTTTTTATCACCCTATGTAATTGCGCTCAAATGCCAAATGTTGAATAAAAATCCATTATTTTATTTCAAAATATGCTCACTTGAGGGTCACTATAGAGACGGGTTTAAAAATGTTTCGAAGCTTCAACACATTTGCCCTGTTTGTTTCAGCATTTCATGAAGTCTTCCTTTGCCCACCACTATCTACCACATGGTATAGTATGTATTATAATAGAAACAAGTCCATTTAAAACAAGCAGTGGACACCATAGACTGTAAAAGATATGAACATAGTATCTGTGATGTCACCCACAGGTTTCTGAAGAACGCAAAAGAAGCTAAAAGTAGGCCTGGACAACCGTCGCGATTATGTAGTGCAAAGCAGCAGAGCTAAAGACGACTGCAAGAATTTTACTTAGACAGGCTTTTCTTTGGGAAATTGGGAGAAATGCTTAATACTTTATTACGAAACAAAAATATGATGTTTATGCTGAGTAGCTGAGGTGAAATGATGCAACCAGCAAGACATGGCTGTCACTCATGGTGGCCACGCCCTTAATTATGCAGACTTAATATTACTTAATATAAACGAAACGTATCAATTATAAAAAAAATACACCCCCTCACAGTTGGCATGAAGGGTAATATTAGCTATATGAACCAAAATTGTTCTTTGTAGCAGGCTGTAAACACCACTGTTTTTCTGCTGTAAAGTTGGCCATTTTAACAGTGGAGCCAGAACTAGCAGAATTTTGATGAATTGCAGTACTTCCATATTTTTATTCACAAGGGAGAGCGGGAGGTTGCCGCTTGATGGACACCAGTAACGTTGCACTATATGTCTGCATTTGACAAATATAGATAAAGGATGAACGTCTGTTTTGGAATGAATGCTAGTGGAGAAGAGGTTTGAGATTCAAATTAAAATGGTGTGTTAGAAATTACAAGTCCATTCTAAGTGCAATCTATCTGGAGAAAATTCCTTTACCCCATTATATAATAATCAGTGTAGTAACCATATATAGACACATTTACATAAAATAATAACAGAATCTAATTATCAATAAGCAGTTAATTATCATTATGTTCTTTTGGAACATCTTGAAGAATATTTTTGTACAATAAAATTCAATGGGGTCCAACTCCAAAACAACATGCTGTACTATGTGTTCTACAGATAAAAGAAATTCATACAGGTTCAAAATGACACAAGGGTGAATAAATAATAGTGGAACTTCCTTTACATTTGAAAGCTTCTTGAATGAGCTGTTAAGAATTAATGCAAAAAGTCAGCAGCTGTTTGCTTTTTTGCCAATTTCATTCCCTAAGCTCGAGGAATCCCTTGAAAACCTTTGGTTTATTTAATAACCACAAATCAAAAATATTGAGTATAAATATTTCATCAAAGTCTGATTGTCCTAATCATCGGCGTAAAGGTGTAATCAAAGTAATTATATCTGTATCTCATGCCACAACGAACTGTTCTAGTGCTTGCCATTTCTATTCATTGGTTCAGATACTGTTTGTGTCTACAGTAGGCCACACACTGCAATGTAAGCCTCAATATCGACTGCCTGCCAAAAAAAAAAAAAAAAAAAGAAAAGAACCCAAAAAACTAAATGTCATTTAAATACTGCTAGCTTTGGTCCTGCTGTGTATATCGTAAACATTTCAAAAACCGCATGTTGTAGCCAGAGCCTTACTGATCCAGTCCAGAATCTGGGTTCATTGTAGAGTCATTCCAAAGGCAGAAGGCCTCTCGTTGAAGAAGGTTTTACGTTTACTTGAAAGCTTGAGATATACGGACCAAAAGCTTGCATTAGAAAAGTCCATTAGAAATGAATGTCGCCACAAAACGCTTCATGTACAGTTATGATCTTATGTTTTCATTGAGATAATTTCAAGTTAACAGCCATCATGTTTAGAGCAACATTCCAAACCCAGCAGGTTTCAGTCAAATGAAACATGGAATTAGTGTCTAATATCAACGGCGTCCCCATATTTTGTAAAAGCTATATAATTTGTGTTGGAAGAGGGCATGAAAAATAAAAATACGAAGACATGAGAGATGCATATTGAAAATGGTGAAAAATCATATACTTCCCAAAATGACTGTGTATGCATGTATTGTATGTATGCATGTATTTGGTTATTGTGTGTAAATCCCCCCCCCCCCCCCCCCTCCCCCTGTCTTTTTGAGAGCTGTAGATGCTGGAGTGGACTCTTTGATTTCATGCATACTTGATACCATCTTCAGAAATGTTTGTTTCACAGATCCTTTTTTATTATGATTTTCTGGTTGCTTTAAGCCAGTAGGAAAAAATATGAATTGTAAAATAGATGTATAGAATTTTCTAATTTTTTTATAGAAATGAGAGATGGGAATTTTTTTTAAACTAAGGTCATGTTGTTATAAAAAGCAATAAAGAACAAAAAAAGGAATACAATAAAAAAAGAGTATAAAATCTAAACTCTGTAGGCCAGTAATAACATATGGAATGTTCTTTGCATTCTCACATTTGCCACACTACAATATATTTGATCTTTAGTTTTTTAATCAGCCTATATAAAAACCACAATATAATTTTGCAGGAGGCAGCTTTTCTTTATATGTGGCCAAAATTAATTCAGAAATCATTATTATAATGCAATGTATAGTCGTAGGCATAATAGTTTGTAAGGACTTTGCTAAATATATCGATTAAGCTATTAAAATGCCAAATAACTACGTTAATAATTCAGGATGGTTAATTACGTTATATGTAACCCAACTGCGTGTGTATGATGTCTACTAAACCCGCTGGTCAAGTTTCTGGAGTTGAGGCTGTAGAGATGAAAATCTGCATACTGTTTCTTTTTGTTGTGATGCATGTTCTCGGATCAGGCCATAAATCACTTAGCCGACATTCTTATTATCTGCTTTATTTAACTTCAAAGTGGCCCACAAATCAAAGTCAACACAAAGTCGCCACTGTTTTCAGTCAAACTACAGAGTTTAGACATGGAGCTTTGAGGTCCATAAATGAAATATGCACTTTTGGGCTCAACTAATTTTCATTAAAATGACATAATCTTATATGATGTGATGAGACTGAATCATTTGTAAAGTTCCTTCACAGGGTACTGCAACAAATATTATGCTAATTCAATGTCAAACAACAAACAGCAACAACAGATACGTTTACTGTTCTACCGCTCTGTGAAATAAGAATAGCCAGAACA